TCTAGTTGTTACATTCGTCATTCCTCACTTCATAAGCTTCATGGGGGGAAAAAAGATATATATAGAGAGAGACGCACACAGACACACACCCATTTTAAATATATTAGTTTTCCCCCTTGCAGCACTGCAGTCTCTCTATTGTTGAATAATAACAATTTCTGAAAAGAAAGCACTTAATAAGGCTAAGGTCAGACTGCTTAGACTTGGCATTTGCTGCGATAACAAATCAGAAATGATAGCATCGTACAGATTTATGAATTTTTTGCCCCCGCAGTCACAAACATCAGACGTTTACTTTATAAAGAAAGCTTTTAGATTCTTCCTGCAGTTTCCATAGTGATTTCATTTTTTCCCTTTTATCACAGATTGGCTGAAGTACTGCTACCCTTTGTGCTTTAAAAGGCTTGTGCTACCAACTGTCGATATAAAGGCACTGTAGCTAAAGCACACATGCAACACATACTGTCAAAAATAATTGAAATAGATAAAATGCTGGCTCAGAAAGGTTTCAGTATTTTCTCTGCTTCTCCTGAAGAGTACGGTAGAACAGTATTTCATCTGAATAAATGCAATTAACTTGAGCCAACCATACCACTGTTCTGCTTCCCATAACCTATGATACTTCTGTTCGAACACTCGTCACACAAAAAATAATCTCTTCACAAAAAGCTCTAATAGAGCTTACATCATGCCAAATGCCTATACTTGTTAGATGCAAATGAAAGCAATTTCATTAATTTTTTGAATCGTTTAAAGACAATGCTTATGCCAGTGAGATTTTTCCTCTTTCTAATAAGTTTATTCTTTTAAGAGCATAATGGTTTAAAGAACAATCACGCCGTTTCTGGCAAAGTAAACAATGCTCTCTATTGCAAGAAAGATAGCCACCTTTCAAAGTAAGCCTAAAGGCTTAGTTTCTCTTTAACCCCTTGCTAAACAAATGAGACGGTCATCTCCTCAACAAAATAGATTTCAACTAAGTAAACAGCTTTTTATTCAGTTCCCATGCCTTTAAAATGGAGTCTTTAGATTACAGAACGTATTCACAGTATTTCACTCTCTTTCGGTCAGTTTAATAGAAAGAGGGTGTATGGTTAATGGTAGTTGCTCTAGTCTGATGAGAGTTTCTAAGTCAGAGATGGTCCTAACTTATTAAAAATACTGAATTCACATCATGAAATGGTAGATATGCTACAAATAAGTTCCAAGAGCTGAAAGTTTTCCAGGTGGCTATAAAAAGGAGATTGCCAATTCCGTATTAAAAAAAGAAAATTTAACGCAAAATTCACAGAAAGAAATACATTTTAAAAAATGTACAGAAAACAGTACAGAAATAGACAGACAGTTAAACAGATCATTTAGAAAAAGAAAAAAAGTAAGCAATTTTCTTTTGGGTGTATTTCTGAAAATGAATCCTCTATTTCTGAACAGATTATCTACTGAAAAACTATCAAACTCCCTATTTCAATGTCATCCATTTATTAGGGGAAATCATGCAACTGGCTTTTGTTGCTGGATATGAAAATCAACTGTTAGGCATTCACATGCATTAAACAGGCAGGAACACTGAATGTAACGTATGTTAATACTTACTGCCAATAAAGTTTCTTCTAGTAAAGTTTGCAGCACGGTGGCTTGAAATAAATTAAAACACACACACACACACACACACACATTATTAAGATTAGGCTGATTACTGACCTGCTCCACAAGTTGTAATAATAAAAGTTACTCAGGTTAGATCCAGCAGTTTTGGGAAAGATTCAGGTACAGCTGATCCTGCCTCGGGACACGAGGATGGACTAGCTGAGCTCTTGAAGCTCTGATTTCCTCTATGTAAGCAACCTCTAAACAATCACTCTTAGCCAAGATAACAGAATCCAGCCCTACTCTTAATACCAATTTTCCACCACAGCCATCAGAAGGGTCATTTAATAAACCAATTAAGCACTGTACTCAAGTAATCAACATCATCTGACTTACGATGATATTTATTGTCTTTGTATAGTTTTTTCAAGCAGTGTAAAAAATAATAATAATAATCCATGCTAAACATTAGTGATTAGATCCCTAACTTTTCAGAAAGGATAACAACTTTTCACAGTCCCTCTTCAGGATTATAGTTATTTTAAAAACCTGCATGACCACATACCTTAGCACAAAACTGAATCACTCAAGGAGAATTTCTATGCGACAAGTGGATTTTTTAAAAAATAAATTGTCAATGAAAAAATATGAAAAGGTTTTGTCCCAGAAGAATAAAGATGAGAAATCTGGCTTTTGTAATACAAGAACCACTGAAGCCAGTTTCATCCTATCTAGAAACACTAAATCTTGTTCTCACAGGACTTTCTTTCCAAACTTTTTATAAGGTATTCAAAGAGTTTCTGCAACATTCACAAGAAAACTGATTTTTCTGGGGCTTGCACAACACTTCTGAATTTATCCACTGCTTTCTCTAAGCCAGGGAACCCTCAGGAAATTATTTTTATAAAAGGAAAATGCAAACTACGTATTTCTTAGGCAGCAGGGACTGAACAGGACATTTAAAATGAACAGTTGACTTACAGTCCAAGTTAAAAAAGAATGTCATGCTCCTTTATACATGGGTCTGCATATTTTCCTTGGAGAAAACTATAAATACAGCAGAACTAACTAAAGGAAGTATTTATTTGTTGCTATATATTTTTAGTTAAAACTCTGCTGGTATAAATGACTCTACAGTCATACAACTGATGGGGGTCCAGAACATTCTTTCATTCTCTTCATCAAATAAGAAAAATAGGTCAACTTCAGGGTTGGACTTTCTTTCCCCCTCTAGCAGTTAGACCTCACAGAGATAATGGCTTTCAGCTTAAGCAGAAGAGGGTAATACTTTTAGCTCTCAAGGTTATTCATTAAAATATGTAGTTTAAAAAAAAAAAAAAGCAATGAAAACCTTCCCTCACCCTCTGAATGGAGAGAGAGAGAGAGAGAGCGAGCGAGAGAAAAAAAAAAACACACACACACAACAAAAACCCACACCACACAAAGCAGGTAGCCAAAGAAACAAAATATATAACAACTGCTTTTCACATATCACCCTGCAAGTCAGCCCACAACAGAAATGAAAAATACTCTGAGTGTTATTCTTGGACATGTAGAGAGGGACCATATTCTCCTTTGAAAGAGAAAAGAAACTCATGTTCTTTCTTCCTAATTTCTCCTTCTGGGGAAAAAAAAAAAAGCCTCTTTCTCCCAAGGATCAGATTTCCTCGGATTCTCCTGGGTCTCTCTGCGCAGCTCTCCAAAATGCACCTTCCCCCATGAAACAACAGTACCCGTGGAATTCAGAACTTCAAGCATCCAAGTGCATTTATTCAAAGACAGGGGAAAATCTGCAAGTTATCACAAGAAAGGAACTACAAGACAACACATTCTAAAATTTACAATCCTAACTCAGTCAACTCAAAAGCTTTTCATTCCTAGTGGAACTTCTAACTTGTTTACCCACCAGTTCTAGAAGTCAGTACCACCCTATTTTCTGCCAGCTGGTGTCCAAGCCTACGACTTAGGCAGCGTCAGGAATTCCCTCAGGTGTCCAAAGGCATTTCTTGAAATAGAGCCCCCCCACTGAGGTCTTTATATATACATAAACACATACATAAAGAGGCAGCCTTTTAGACCTAATCTTTAAGGTCACAATGATGTTTCTCTTGTACAGCAAGTGGAATCTAAGAAGCCACTTGCTTTTTAACAAGAAAAGAAATGACTGAAGTCATTCAGTCAGACAGCCCAAAGGGGTCATTGTGGTCTTCTCATCCTAAGCTCCTACAGGACAGGAAACACACACTTTATTTGGGCCAGTGTTAAAGCATATAAAAGTCCTTTGCTGCCTTGTTTTCAGTGACATCTCAAATGCCAAAATATATAGGCATAAAACTACTGACATTTGTTGGAAATCTTCCTTAATGAATGAAAGCATCAGATGCATCTGTAAGAGTGCCACTCTGAACCAGGACATAACTTTCTGCTGATGCCATTTAGCGGAAAAATTGCACATGCTTTTTTCCTTTCAAATAGAAGGGTGATAGAGACACATGACTGCAATATACAGAAAATCAAACACGTTTTATCCTTTCATTTTAAAAAGAATCTTTTCAGATGATACAAAATTTCTACTGGAAGACAACTAACCTGAATTCTATTACTAGAGTAACTAAAACAATAATCAAACTTAGGCAGAAGGGCACCCTCTCACCATCAGAAATGAACAACTAATCACCAAGAGCTAAATTCTTTTTAAGCCATTCCTCTTTGCACATCAGCTAGGGATGCGGTAATGCATGACTACATCTGTACATGCATCTAGCACAGCTGCGCATGCAACTATTTGTAGTTACCACAATGCATGCATTAAAAACAACCACCACAGATTTTGGCACATCAGCAAGTATACACACACTGAACCCTCACCATAATAACAACTGAGCATTTTCCAGGAGAGCATCCAGCAATATGATTCATACCTATCATATGTTATGCCCTTCTTCACAAGCAACGTGACAGAAACTGGGTTTTTTGGGGGGTTATTTTCTACATACTGCTTTGCATTTACATAGGCAAGGTCAAAAATATTCCCGCCAGTGAAAGGAGAGATTATAATGAGATTTGCAATGATTCTTAGCTCTTGGGGGGATTCCAGAGCCTTGAACGGATCCCTAAGATGTTACACGTCCTGAAGAGATGAGTGTGAATGCTACCAAAGAGACTTCCATTGTAGCAGAAGAATGATGCTTACAACCACATCTTCATCTTGGAGCTTTAGGCAGCCTTTAGATTGAAAGAATCCTTGGGGGGAATGCACTAGCAACCTCTGACTAACATAAGGTTAATTTGAACTACATAGCATAATAGCACAAAGCGGCCTCAAGAAGAAA